TCCTTCCCCTGTCTCTGTTTCCCTTGGTGAGACTGATGCTTGATTTCTTCTTGTTAGAAATATGCTCCTTTTTCCATACACTTTAGGTTATTTTAATAACCTAAATATATTAGGTAATTATATTAGGTAAATATATTAGGTAATTATAACTAGTTGTAATTAGAATAATTAGAATTTACTAGCAATACTAAAATAACTTACCTTTCTATTTGCAACTAATTCCCCACAATAAAGACAATAAGAGTTTATAACAAACAGTAAAAGAGATGATGAGTCTCTTTTGTGTTCCCCTAGGGAGCTCTGGTAAGAGCTCTTACTCTTAGTAGTAAGAAGCTGTGTTGCAAACACAAATGTGCACTACTTGCATCCACCAGATTCTCTAAGGGAAAAGGATGGGCATTCTCCTCCCATGTGATTTTACTGCCTCTCAAAACTGGCTAGAGGAGCAAAGATGGGTTGGTTCCAACTCCACAGCAAACAACAACAACAAAATGCTATTCTGCAATACACCTAACGAAATTACAAAGATCCACAGAGTAGCTAGCTATGGGAAAGATAAAATCTGAAATGGAAAACTTAAAACACTGCTCTTAGGACGTCACTTTCATATGGAAAATGAAGCTTGATTTTAGTAGAAAATAAAAATAGTTTGCGGTATTTCCAAGAGATTACAGATTGCCAAAAGGAAATCACACACTCATAAATTCAGCACACATAGATTAATTAGATTTCTGATTTAATTAACCAATGATTCGGAACATGGGGCTAGCCCACAGGGCAAGAGCAGATGTATCCTTCCCCCTCTCTGTTTCCCTTGGTGACACTTGATGCTTGGTTTCCTCTCATTAGAAAGAAACATGCTCTTTCTTTCACACACTTTAGGCTGTTCGATACTATCTGGTACCACTCTAGAGCTGGTTCCTATTCATCATTTGCTTCCATTTTTTCCAAACCTCAAATGGCAGTTTGGCTAGGAGGTGCTCCTTCAGGTTGACTCTGCCTCCATCTCCTCACCTACTTACTTGAAGGGATTCTGGCTTTCAAACAAGATATTTCCGCTTGTTCCAGGTTTCCGTGAAAATACAGATAAAAATACAGAAGGCCAAGTTACATTTACATTTCAGAAACACAGCAAATACTTTTTTGTATCAGTGTATTCCAAATATCATATGGTACTTCCTTAAATTAGAGAATTCTTTTAAATTATTTTATATCTGAACATAAATGTAAATGGACACTAATTTTATTTGTGAAGTGTGGTAACCCTCTTTAAGACCATTTTGAGCTTTCCTGTCCTAAGTATGAAATTAGCAGCTCTTCAAAGAGCATGTTTTTCTCATCATGGAGAATCGTGGAAGAGATGAGATTTGTAGCATTATACGTGGAGCCTACACCCTCACATGAGGACTGTGAGCACAGTGTTAAGGCACAGAGATGACGAGACATGTAATTGTAGAAGAAAGTTGCATATTCATCAAAAGAGCACCAGTGATAGTTCAACTCTATCCTTAAATATCCATTGATCTTGTTCTAAAATAATAAAAAAGACCAAACTCGTTTCTCTCAAATCAGAATCAACTCATAGACGACTCTACAGCTGAACATCTGGTGAATTTAAACCCCGTACCTTTGGGTCGGCAGTGTAATTCTTCACCTCTAGGCCACTGTTGTTATTGGTGTATGCCATTCAGTCGGAGCCAACACAAAACTGACCCTCTAGCAGGTTTACAGAGGTAGTAAAACACATTAAGAGATTTTCCATCTTTCTCCTATACAGTGGCTGGTGAATTCAAACCTTGTGCCTTTGGGATTGTGGCAAAGCTTTTTAACCAAGAGGCCACCAGAACTCCCACTAGGCAACTAGAGCTCCCTTTATATATGAATATGTGTTTGTATATTGTCTATATAGGCAACTATGGCCCTCAGGCCTCATTCTAACTGTTTTTGGTCAAACATTCTTCTAAGTGATATAGTACTGGTCTGTCCACTTGCTGTACAGAGGTAACTCATGGTTGCTGTGATGCTAAACACTGTGACACTGATGTGTCAAATGAGATAACGGTTACCCATCATGGACAGTGTTTGGTGGAGCTTCCCAATGAAAAAAAAGCTTGGAAGCAGGAGTGGCATCCGCTTCCAAAATAGCTTGTCTCCAGAAACTCTATGAATGTGGAAAAACAATGAAAGTTATACAAGTGTTCAGGTCTTTCTTTCATAGGATCGCTATGAGTCATCTAGGACTCGACAGCACTTAACAGCAACAATAATAAATAACTTTCCTAGCCTATTATTATATAAGCTTCCTGAGAGACAGCAGAGGCTTTTCTTGTTTAAAGTGCTAAAAAGCCAGAATGTCACTTTAAAGACCAAGGTGTGCCTGACCCCACCATGATATTTTCAGTTGCTTCTTTTACATGTGAAAGTTGGACAACGAAGAAGAATTGATGCCTTTGAACTGTGTTACTGGGGAGGAATACTGACTACGCCATGGTCTGCCAAAAGAACAGAGAAATCAGTCTTGGAAGAGGTACATCCAGAATGCTCCTTAGAGGCAAAGATGGTGAGAGAAAAGGAGCTTAAGAAAAGACTATGGGAAATTGAGCTTAGTGCACAGTGTCTGAAGCAGAAGATGACCATTAGTGCTTAAATTTGCAAGAGAGAATCATCCAGATGAGAAACAGAGGGGTTCCTTGTAAGTTACCAATAGCCTTTGAAAGAACAGTTGTATCAAAATTATGGGGCTGACACCACTTTCAGGACCTTGACATGTAAATAAGATGGAGGTGGTAACGGATGGTAGTCTATCTTTTGTGTCTCCTAGACTTGAGAGGTCTGACTATATTAAGTGTTTGTTTAATACTTAAAGGGTAGAAGGTGAGAAGCTTAAGTTTTACATAAGTAAAAAGATAAAGATCTCACCCAGCCAAGATGGAACATAAATTGTAGCTAAGATCATGATATTTAAAATGGTAAACCAATTACTTTTTTTAAAGACCCAGCAGAGATGTGAAAAGATGGGATAACAGTGGGCATAGTTCAATGGTGCTTAATTTTATAAAACACAATGTATGGGAATGATTGTATGAAACACAATGTTAATGAAGCAAAGTGTGAAACATAATGTATACCAATTTTGTATGCAAACCAATATAAAATTTTTAACAGGAAAAAATTTTAAAGATTTAGGTTGTATAAAGTTATTTTATTAATTAAAAATTATACTGAGCAGTTTTCACTGCAATACAGGATATTCTTGTCATACATTTTCAATCATTCCAGTGTCTTTCATTTGTATTTACTTTTATTTTTGTTTAAACTTCATTCTTGGTTAATGATGCCTGGAGAGTACCTTGAGGCCTCATTGCTGGTGCCTAGTCTTCTTGGAGTTGAGGGCCTCTCAGACGTGCTTCATTGACTTCCCTTTCCAGCTATGCCACAGGCAACTCTGATGCATAACGGAGTATGTCCTGACATGAACTCCTAAAGGCATTGGGGACGGCAGTGTAGTAATATAAACTATACAAGAGATCAAACTCCCTTGTGTTTTCCAACAGAAGGAACATCAAGTACATATGTGAATAATTATCTTTCTAATGGAATTAAATATAAAGGGCTAATTATTTGCTTTTCTGAACTCACAATTGCTTTCTTTAACATAGTCTTAGGAATTATTTCTTAGCTTTGATTCTCAAGGGGAAGTCTGGCGACATTGTGAGTTATGTTTTGGGCTGGTAACCAAAGGGTTGACATCCACTAGTCACTCTTCCAAAGAAGGATAAAGCAGTCTGCTCCTATTAAATGTGATGTTGTTGTTGTGTATGGTCATGTTGAGTATGACTCTTTGTGACCTATGAACAACAGATAAGAACCTTGACCTATCCTGTGCCATCCTTATCATCTCTGACATATTAGATCCCATTGTCACAATCCCTGTGTCAATCCATCTCCCCGAGGGTCTTCCACTCTTGCACTGACCCTCCACCTTTCCAAGCACCCAATGAGGGTTCGTCATGAGTTGGAATGAGACATCAATGGGTTGGGTTTACTTTGGTGGTTCTCTCCTAAGGGTGTTCATAAAAATCACTGGGAGGCCTTGCTGTCCTCCTCCACCATCTGAGAGTTTTTTATTCAGGGGACTTGGTTTGGGGTTAATATTTAAAGTTAGATTATGAGACAGTGTAATCATTGTCATTTGAAATTGTGGTCAATGTGCCTTACTCAGTTCATCAAGTTTGTGTTGTTTAGTGAATCAAGCAGTGGAACTATGTATCTTTTATAAATCAATGTTCTGAAGTCTCTGAGAAAAGCTAATATTTCTTTGGCATGTCTAACAAGTTCTGTAGTGGTGTGCATGCTGTTCAACACAAGCGCACTTCCAAAAACCACCCATCTTCATGACTAAAAACTAAACGCCAAGCCCAGTGTCGTCAAAGTAATTCCAACTCGCAGAGATTCTACTTCTCTCTCCAGTTTTCTGATGTTCTTCAGGGAATATGGACCAAATTCTCATGTGAGTACAACTTTCCAGGCATCAATCAATTTCTCCTTTCTTAAGGAAGTGGAGAGATATTATGAAAGTACTAATAAGGTGCTATTAGGAGTATCCAAGTAAAAAATTCCAGCCTTTTACTCATTTTTAAGCCTGAATGGTACAAACCATTTGCAGTCATAATAAAAATCTACAATGGGCAGGTAATGTTCATTAAATGAGAAGGAAAAATTAATACTCATTTGCCACATTATCTCCCTTTTGTCCATATTTTTCTTTTAAAGTCCAAGTGAGAGAAGGAGTGAGACAGTACATATCTACAACCTAAACAATATATAATTAAATCTCAGTGCTCAAATTTATATCCTTACAATAAATAACATTGTTTTATTTCATCTTTTGCTGAATTTGTTTACAAAGAAAGCAGATAGCACGGTAGCATGGTGGGACCTGATCTAACAATGACCTCAGAGTGGACGGGACATAGCAGGTGAGGCTGGAAATGACCTTCCTACCTGCTCTGCACCTGAGCAATCCCAAAGACGTCAGGGCCACGCTGGTGAAAGCATTTATATGAGCAAACTGACTTTCGAAGAGGTATCCACTGAACGTCTCTGCTCATTTTACAGTTCTAAAAAGCAAAGATTTAAAATAAAATTAGCAGGGCAGTACTGGATCTATATTCTGCATCAAAGAAATATTAGCTTTTCCCAGAGATGTCAGAACATTGATTTCTAAAAGATACACAGTTCTATTGCTTGACTCACTAAACAACCCAAATTTAATGAACTGAGTAAGGCACATTGACCACAATTTCAAATTGCAATGATTATACTGTCCTATAATGTAACTTTAAATGTTAATAAAGAAAGTTAAGACTAGCTCAATACAAAGACCTGGTGGCTTAGTAGTAAGGAGTTGCACTGCCAACACAGAGGCATGTGGTTCAAATCCACCAGCTTCTCTGCTGGGGAAAGATGGGTAGTCTCCTTCTGTGTGATTTACTGCCTCTGAAAACCTTCTAGAAGGTGAAATATAGGTCAGTTCCAACTCATCAGTACACAACAAAAACAACATTAACACTGATGTTAAAGCTCTGTGGCACAATGGCTAAGTGTTCAACTACTAATCAAAATGTTTGTGGTTCTAACCCACTCACCCACTGCCTTCATAGGAGAAGTACATGACAATCTGCTCCTATAAATATTACAAACTGGAAATCCTGTGGGGCAGCTTTGGATTGAAAGGAGTGTCCTGTGTCATGATCTTTGTGTGCCAGAATGTCTTTACAGTTTATTTTTAGAGGTAAACAACCTATCTGTCAGTTCGTTATTGGGGTATGATTTGTGTGTTGCCAATTATTTTGTATCTTAGATGTGTATAGACCTGGGTATTATTTGCACCTATTAGCACAGCATTTGTCAGTCTTTCGTACTGGTGTAGCTTTCACGGTGCTCTGATACTGAAATCTGTGCCATCAGTCTCAGACAAATAATTGGACAAACCAGACTCTTGGAGGAAGAATGTGGCATCAGGATCAGAGGAAGACTCATCAAGAACCTCTATGCAGATGACACAACTTTACTTGCTGAAAGTGAGAAGGACTTGAAGCATTTGCTGCAGAAAATAAAAAACTACAACCTTTGGAGGTAAAGATGAAGAAGCATCATCTTTCATACTTTGGTGAGGCTATTCACTAAAGAGGGACATCAGTCTTGAAAATATGTAGCAGTCATCAAAGGAGAGGAATATTCCCAGTGAGACGGATCAACACAGTGACTTCAGCAATGGACTTCAATTTTTCTGAGACGGTGAGGATGGCACAGGATAGGGCAGGGTTCAGGTTGACTGTTACAAGTGACTTAGATGGAGGCAGATTGTATGAATAAATGGAGCAAAGGGCATTTTAAGAACAGTAAAACTGTCTGTATGCTAGTTGAACAGTAGATACCCCCTGAAGGGTCAGCTATGAGCTGATTCTGACTTGAAGGAACTTAACAACATAACTTTAGACATTTGGCAAAACCCAGACAACTATGCTACATGGAATAAACCATTATATAAACGATGTTGTTGTTGTGTCATCAAGTCCCCTGCAACTCATAGTCCTGAGGCAATCTCACCATCAGCAACACGCCATCCTCCAGAGCCCCAGTTAGTGTCAATCAATCTCATCCAGCATCATTTTCTCCTGCATTGTCCCTCCACCTTTTCAATTATGATGTCCTTCTCCAAGAAATAATCCCTCCTGGCAACATGCCAAAGTATATAAGACAGAGCTTTAAAACCCTTGCCTCCAATGAGCAGCTTGCTTTCACCTTCTCCAGAGCAGACCTGTTTGTTCTCTTGGCAGTCCATAGTATGTTCAAATACTCTTCTCCAGCACCACAACTCAAAGACATTGATTCTTCTACTTTCATTTGTAAGAATGCATATACACTGGCTCATACATAGCAAATGCACTACAAAATTGTGCAGAAAGTAATTATATAACACAACTCAAATATATTAGTAGAGCAAAATCCCAGGATTTATTCTGGATAAACTGAAAGAAGGAAACTGTCTTTTCATTGTAGGAAGACACAATATAAAGAACCCCTGACTGAAAATGAGCCAAAACAAAGGGAAATGGAGCCAACGACCCCAGAAAATAAGCCCTTGATGAGATTCTTGGACACCTGAATTTAGTCATGACTAAGTATTCATTCAAGTCTGTCACTGGGTCCTTTATGTGCATAAAATAGCAGAATAATTTTCATTGAGTTAGTATATAGTAGAGTTTCTTTAGCTTGAAGCCAGAGTCCTGACCAATTAGAAATACTTATACCCAACAGCATACTAGATAAAGTACAGAGACACCAACATATAGTAAAAACTCCTTTTTTTCTAAGATTCTCTTTAGCATCTAGCTAGAAAGACAAAAAATAAACTTTAAAATAACTAGGAACCTAGGAGTCAATTCAATGATTTTTTTTCATTTGAGTGTATAAAAGGGCAACATCTTTATGGGCTGCATGTTATGCAATAATTTACAATATAAGAGGTCAGCTGGGTTGGAAGAACAACTAGGGTGTGGCTGCCTAGAGAGACAGTAGAAGGATATTTTATGAAGGGAGAAATTAAATAGCATATATTTATTGGGGTATCAATACAGTATGAAAAATAGATGCTAAAAAGTTAAATCACAGAATATCAACAAGTGCAGTAGTTCAGGGCTAAGAATAATCCGTGTTCCTCTTACCATTGTCACATTTAGAATGGTATTTGAAATCTACCTTCCATGAGAGAATGATTATTATTACTATTATTATTAATTATTATATAACTAGATTCTAATGGTTAAGTGTTGATATTTTGCTTTGAAATTGTGACAGATGTCAAAAGATCACATTCAGTGATCATCTTCCTTTCCATGTGATGAACAGCATTGTCCTCCACCAAGCCCTGCCTGCCTGCTTCGGGAACCTATCTCAGCTGATTTAAAGGGCTATCAGAAAGAAACCACACTAAAGGCAGTGCAGTAAACTCCTGCTTATGAAACCAGGACAAAGAGTAGCATTGTGAAGTGAGACGAAGCTCAAGGAAAAACATAAGCAAAAGCAACTGGGGTCATAGAGTTATTGGATTTGCTTTAGCCAGTTTCTCCATAAGGTGAAAAGTTTGTAATAGAAAATATTAAAGGCATTTTCTATTTCCACTGTGGTTTTAGCCATTTCCCTTGTGTCATTAAGACATTGCATAAACAGAGTTTGGGTTGGCTCCTGCTGCAAGCAGGAATGCAAAGAGTCTGTGTCCCTCTTTCCCCTTCTTGGGGGTATATTATTGTTGAGTTAGCAAAAATAAATGTTTTTGTTTAGCTGTAGAGGAGTTTATTTTACCAAAGGTCATTATCAGTTTTATATGGATTACCAAGTTTTGCAGGTAATTTTTTTCCAATTTATTAACCTCCACCTCTGACAGATTTCTTGGTGCTTTGATTTACTTCCTAGAAATTTTATGGAGAAAAAAATAATTGACTCAAAAAAATTCCTTGATGACACAACTTTCCACATAGAGTCATTATCCTCTGTGATATTTACTTGAGAACCATCAATTATTTAATAACTTACTTCTAGGTGTTCAATTAAATTATTATTTCCAGGTATGACATCACTATTGTTTCTACTGGTGTGACAGAAAAGTTCATTTGAAATGATAAGCATAGAGCCGAGGAACACTGACAATCCTTTCCATAGGGATCCTGTCTTCATAAACCTCAATTAACAAAACCTCATGATTCTATCAAAGATAATGGCTGCTTTGGTCATTATTGACAGCTAACAACACTGGAACATATGACCTTTTTCCTCAAGTCAGAGGAAGAAGAGTCAGTTTATTACTAGATATGTCAAAAGTATGTAAATCTATTTAAAAAAAAACCTCTAAATTATAAAATGCCATACAAGAGACTAATTTTTCATGGTTTGTAATGAACTGCGTCATGGAAAAAAGCGAAGAAACACAAGATTATATCCTTTTTCTATCTTAGGGAAAAGTTTCTATCTGCTTCAAATTTAAATACACATGTTTGCTACCTTTTATATCCTTTAAATGTCAAAATAGAAAAGATTTGCTTTATGAGTCAACAGATGCCTCGGTTACAATCACTGCCATTTTAAAATGCTGACAAACCAAGTTATCCAAAATAAATTCATAAAAACCCATTTGTTTTGTATACTTTCCCTAAAATCACAATTTAATAAAGAAAGAAGACATTTCTCTCCATCTCTCATTGTGTTCATGCAGTTTCCAACACACAGACAACCCTTCAATGGATTTCCATGGAACTTCCCACCTTCCTCTCAAGGAACAACGTGTGGATTCAAATAGCCAGAAGAGCATGACTGTTGAGTTAGCAGTGCATCTGTTCATGGACCACACTCATCTGAATGTTTTGTTATATGGCACTGAGTCAAAACCAACTCTCTTCTCACTCTCCAGCTGATTTTCAGAGGCAGTAAAGTGCTTGAGAGGAGATTGTCCATCTTTCTCTTATGAAGCAGCTGATGAACTTCTTCCTACTAGACCACCAGAACTTCCTCCTTTTGATATATATTCGAACTAAAATATTTGGCATAAATTTCAGTATTATGTGAAGCACAATGAATAGAGGAGGAGAGAAGATAATAAGACGGTTTCCTGTTTTCTCATAAAAAGGTGCTATGGTGGGCAGAACAATGCCCCCACTCAAAGACATTCGTGTCATAATCTCCAAAACCTGTGAACATGCTAGGTAAATATGGCAAAAGATTTGGCTGACATGATTCATTTAAGGACCTCGAGATAGGGAGATTGTCCTGGATTATTTAGGTTGGCTTGATATAATCACAAGGATCATTTAAAATGAAAGATGAAGTAAAAACATTATATCTGACCTACAAAAAAACCAAAGCTACCACCTTTGAGTCAATTCCAACTAACAGTAAACCTATAAGACAAGGTAGAAATGATCCATTGGGTTTAAAAGGGCCCATGTAAACCTAGAAACCACATAAACTCTTGCTGATCCTCCACTGGTTTCTGATGCTGTCGATCTTTAAAAGAGGAAAAAACCTATCTTTCATGTGTGCAGTGTCTGGTGAATTTAAAACC